TGCTACCATACATGGCATCGCTAGGCTAGTCTAGGCCTAGCTAAAAAAACATCAATATCAAAAGATTTATTACATTTTGTAAATCATAAATTATACATCTTACATCACTTTTTGGCGAATTGCAAGTGAAAATAATTCGCCAAATTCGGATTCAATTCAGATTATTTTAGAAGGGTTGTGCGGCTCACACCCCTAGATATGCCACTGGCTTAGCTGATTTCATTTAGATACAGTACTACTAAGAATCATATTTTTGCCTGCTACCTGGTTAGCAATGAATAATATTCTTATTGTATAGGACTTTCTTCCGTCTGCTTGCTGACGGTCTATGCTCATGTGTCGAACTTTATAAACCACCGTCTCCAAATACATCATAATCAACCCAAATAGTTTGATATACATTTTTGTAGACTCTAGATTCCCGTAGCCCATAGATCTATTGTGGTGCCACCGGTAAATACCGGTAGTAATATTTTATCTCATACCTGTACGTGGTTACCAGATTTATTGTTAGATCACTACTTATTTATTCTGTATAACTGTTTATGCTCATTGCCTACTTATCTAACATTAACAACCTAAAGATAAGTTATTCATTTAGGATACATACCTACAATTTTCTTTTGGTTGTGTTAACATTTTCTATGTACAGTATTATTCACCCAAGCCATAAATTTACATTTGTTGGTACAGTATTCACTTTCTTTAAATTGTAATAGGCCTAGGCCCTTTTGATGTAACTGTCTTTCAGCTTTTTTATTATCATTATTGATGTGATTGTATAAGAATATATTTGATTGCATTTACTTTTGTGTGTGTATGGATGCATCATCACTGTGATGTCTGCCACTGTTTCTGAAGTGATTTCCAAATAGATATATTATCTATTATAATTATGTTTATTTCAAAGACTACAGGCATAATAATGCAAAACCGATGTCTGCGATTCAAAACCTACCTGTAAAAAAAGTCTCCTTCACACAAAGTGAATATAGCCCCATATTCAAGTTTAGTTGAGGGAAAAATACTGCAATGACTTTTACTTTCGTTTTTCAATGGATCTTTAGCTGTTCTGACCACATGGCAGTGATTCATATGTACCGCATTCCTCTAATAGCAGGGCTTGAAATTAACTTTTTTTTCTTGGTAGCACTGCCAAAATTTTCTGGCACCCCCCAAAAAAATTTGGTAGCACAAGTAATTTTTTTAGTAGCACATATTTCCCCATCCTTTTCGCATCCCCTAAGATAATAAG